GGTCCAGACTGTGCCAACCAAAGCATGGTACAATAATCCTTATGAAAAAGAAAAACGTTCCATGGTTTGCACGTGGCAAGCGAAAGGTTAAAACGAAGAGTGTTTTGATTTCTGCGAGAACCNGAATATTATTTTGATGACCTACTGTCATATATATTTTACACCGGCTTGTGAACAAGCATGGTGCCAACGCCTCCACATTATTAACAACAATAATAGGGGATAGGTGGATCGGGGTACAGAGCAAAGTGGAAAGAGGGTGAAACAGCGTAATACGGGAAAATAGATAACTGGGAAAACGAAATTTTTGTTTCACCGTACACTTTTTGATATTTTTTGTTCTGCTTTTTATTTTTACGAGGCACATGATTTCGATAGGCAGACCGGACAGCATTCGCGCCACTGACTTCTATTCCGGACCACATCTCTCAGCGTCGCTAACAAACGACAATTCTCATCCCTTGGGCCCTAACCGAAGCCAGCTTCTTCATGCCTCTAGCCCATATTATGGTCTGACCGCCGCGACGCTTCTTCCAATCTTGCCCGGCACGTTCAAAGAAGGCACGGAAAGGTAGTCGATGGGAAGGCATACGCAATACGTGACCAAGTCATCGGAGACGGTGTAGAGCGACTACTTCTGTTAGAGAACGACTATCCGCACCCAATACACGACGACGAACATCGTCATTATTCACCTGGTTTTCCCGCCAGACACGAGCAAAGCTTCGGAGGCATCGCTGGTCAAATACAGAAAGTCGATTAGCATCCTCAACGCTGAGGAGCCAGGTCTCGCAACCGTAAAGGAGAACGCTACGAACCTTAAGAGACAGTCGGATGTCATGGCGGCGCCGCAGGTTGGCGAAAGTTGATCCAGCTTTCGCTATTCATGTGATCTCCTCCTCAACACTCCTGGGATCCAGCTTCCGAGGTACTTAAAGCTCTCAACTACCCCCAGCTGATCACCACAGAGGATGAGTGCGGGCACAGGCTCCTGCCAGTCTTGAACAAGCACTTTGCACTTTGATGATGCAAAGCACATACAATACCTGAATACCTGTATCTCCAAGCGGTTCAAAGCGTTTTAGACTGCTTGTGTGTTGTCACCCACCAAGGCGATGTCACCGGCATATTCCAAGTTAAGAACTCTGTTCCCTGGGAGGTCGATTCCACCGTTTGCTAGACCGGAAAAAGTATTCTGTCGAACATCCTCTATGGCGAAGTTGAAAAGAAATGGGGATATAGGGCAACCTTGACGAACTCCACTGGAGACGACAAAGGGTGGCGAAAGTTGGCCGTAGGCCCTAACCCGACTTGAGGTATGACGATACAACTCTGAAGATCGACACCATACTTCTCAGGTACTCCGTTGCTCAACAAACAGCTCCATAGCGCGGGCTTATCGATAGAGTCGAAGGCCGCACGGATATCTACGAATACAATGACCGTTGGTCTTTGGTAGGCATGACGGTGCTCTAGCAGCTGTCGGAGGGTGAATATTTGATGGATGCATCCACGACGGGCACGAAACCCAGCCTGCTCCTCACGCGTAGTGTACAATCGGCGGAGAATGACGGACGCCAGCAGCTCTGACGCTATGGGGATTAGTCTTATGATTGGCGCAGTCGTTGCGCGGGTCCCTTATGAGATAGGGACAACAATTGATTCCCCTCACGAGGAGGGGAATTGCTCAGTGTTCCACACTAGAGAACAGAACTTGTAGTTCTCTTACATCCTTTATCCAACCATATTTAAATAGAGCAGGAGCTTCGCAGATCGTTTCGCTCACACCCAAGGCTTTCTTGCCGGTGACCCGGATGAGATGGAACAGCTTACGGGAAGTACCCATGGCGGCAGCACGTTCCATCTCTGACGCGCGTTGAGTCCACCACATCTCGCGGTCTCTACATAGGATTGCATTAAGTTCAACTCGTTGCGAGTCGTGCTCCATTATGCTCTCTGCCGGTCGGAATTGACCGACATGCGTCAAGAAGGCGTAGAGACTGCAGAGATCCAGGGTGTCGCGGCGCGACGCGTCAGACCACAACTATATAAGCCAGCAGAATGCAGGGCATTCTTGATAAGCGACCAGTGCTGGTTAACGTCATCCGGTGGGGTTGGTATTACCTTTGCAGCTAGTGCGTTTTGGAAGAGTTAGACAAGCTGGTTTGGACAGCTTATCACAGTCTAACCGTCGTTGTGTCGTGCGTTTGGGACGCCCACCGAAGCAAATGGACAGCTTAGCGCATACTAATGCGTGGCCGGATTCGAGGAGAGTGCTCCAGTACGATCGGCAGCCTTGAACATTGTCCGACCATTTGTGGCTTATCGCGATTTGGTCTATCTGCGTCCGTCACTGATTCGATGAGGGCGGGCGCCAATTGGCGTACTGGCAGTTGGAGCGTCTGAAATTCGTACTGGCGAGGAACAGGCGATGGTCGGAACACAAAGCCAACAGCCGCTTCCCGTTTTCCGAGCGATAGGAATCCCGTCAGAAGGGACCTCCCGGGTGCTCCTCACTCAAAGTCAACCAGCCTACTCTAGCACTCATATTTCCTGCTAAAATCACGATATCAGCCCGGGTCGCTTTACGCAAGAGGTCGTGTAGATTGTGATAAAATTCATCTTTGACTGCATCTGGGCTGCAGTCTGTTGGAGCGTGCGCCGATAAGACAAACAAGTTTCGTCTATCGTGGCGACGGCTGCTTACCTTGCACGAACCTCTGAGTCTCACTGTGCACAACCTACTGTCGACTGGGATCCAATCCAGGAGGGCGGCCTCAGCTCTTTCACTGAGAGCTACAACGACGCCAGCAAGACCGGAAGCCGCAGCCTCAGGGTCCCCAGAGAGGCATAAGTGAAACTTCACAGATTGGTTAGGTGGGGACGTCAATCGGATAATGCAGTTGGAGTCTTGAATGCGAGTTTATTGGATGCAAAAAAAACATCGATGGCTAGAGTTTCGAGCGTACGAGCTAAACACGCCTGTTGTCCTATCCGCATCAGAGTACGCACATTAAACGTGGCTAGTTTGAAAGGACCTCGAGGGCGTAGAAGGGTATCAGATGGTGGAGGATTCGGTGAGACTTGGACAGCAGTCGAGGTAGGATAAGAGCGAACAGCAGCAGAATTTCCGCCCGAGGCACTACTGTTAGTACGATCGTCTGAAGTACTCGAGAGATGGAATAGATTTGGAAGGGTAGAAGTGGAATGGAGGGAGACTGGGAGAACAAAAGGGTGCGAACAGTGTAGATTGTTGAAGGTCTGGACTGCGAAATCATGAGTGAGAACGTTCATAGTTCTCCGCTATTGTACTACTAGGTCGCCCAGTCCAGAGTAGGCCTTGTTCGAGGATGCACTCTAGCCTTTGCGCA